AGTCTGGAAAAGCCCTAGATAGAGCAGGTAGATGTGAGGTTTGACTGAGATTGTGGAATTGGTGACACAGACTTTAAAGTGTGACAGCCCCTCCCTCAATCCAAGTGCCAGGGTACTTTACTGGAGTAAGGTGCTTTTGAAAACAAACAAAAAGGTGGTTGGTACTTTACCTAGGGGGCAGTAGATGTGTGGAAATACTTGTTAAAGGATCTGTGGCTTCTAATAGCTTATGTGACCGTAGGGAGAGTTTGGACAAGTCTGTGGAAAAGGAATTCAGTGAAGGTTACTAAGTAGAGGCCTAGAAACCACATCTGGCTCAGTAAGTCCTCCAGCTGAGAATAGTTGGATGCTGGGAGAGCTTGAACAGGAAGTATATCTATTTGCCTTGTTCGTGTTTATCTTGAGACATCTGCTCCAGGCCTCTACTGGAGACAGGACATCAAACCTCTCTTCTGATCTCATGTGGCTGTTCTTGTGCTTCTTAAAGGTTGGTTTTAAGTCTGATGTTAATATTTCAGTAAAGAACTTTAGCATAAAACAAAGCCTAATAAGCAATTTTCTAATGAGAGGAGTAATCATGGGATGCCTGTGAGCAAATGGTGTCATATGTATCTATGAAGGAGGCAGAAACAAGCCTAGGAGCATCAAGTAAGATACTTCAGGGAGAGCTGGGAAGCATTCATGTAATTAAACCTATTCCAGAGTATTATGTACCACTCATCTTGTCTGTATTCTCACAAGGGCAGTCAGAAAAACTGAGTGTCTGTGTTACAAAAAGCACACACTTCTTTGACTAAAGTAAATGAGGAGATGTCACTGCTGTATATAAATGCACTGCAGACAAAATGCCAGCAAGGGAAAAGAGCTAACTGTCCTAAAGTACAAGACTGGCACGAGAACAGATATGTATAAACTGGCCATGGGTGAGTTTAGGTTGAAGGCTGGAGGAATCTTTCTGGAGTTGCTCAAGGCCTCCAGCTGCTATTTGCGGCCTCCTGTGAGGCTCTGCTGTCTGTTTTGTCTCAGCCAGATTTTGTGTTGTTATTTAACCTTTCTGTGTTTCACTTACTTCCTGACCATGGCCTTTCTGCTCCTACAGATAGTGATTTGGATCTCATCCATCCTTCTGTTTTCTAACCATATCTGTCTTGTGAGATGCAAACACTTGCTGCTGAGCCAAAAAAAAAAGGCAGGGTAAGGTATAATACAGATTTGGGGGGATTTATTTCCAAGACCAGAAAATAGAAACAGTGACAGCTGTTAACAGCTTGAACAAATTGTTTGTAGTGGTTCCTTACCAAAGAAATGTGTTAAACCTTTCCCAGTTTTGCCTTATGTTCTTTTCTCCAAGCTGTTTATTAAGAATACTAGCAGTGATGGTGACAGATTGGTTTTCCACAAAGCCATGTGTTGAAAGTATCTTTAAAAAGAATTACCCCTGGTAAAATTCCACTACATATTTAAATTTCCCATAACAAAACTTTAGTCATCAACTGAGATATTCCAATTCTAGTGCATTTATTTACTTCACCCAGGTATTGCAAGACAGGTGAATGATGCTCCTACTATATAGAGTAGCTGAGATACCTGAAGAACCTGACTGAAGTCATGCAGTAATGTTGTCCCAAGTGACATTTTACGTGTATCTTAAACAGTGCCTGGCATCAACAGGCAACACAGTCAGGACACTAACAGAAGCTGTATTTGTCCTCTGAACAAAATAACAGTTTTGTTGTTGTTGTTGTTGTTTTTTAACATATAGAAACCATATGGTTTCTCTATAATCTCTAGATAAATTTATGAGCTGTATAATTTAACTTTTATTATTCTGGAATATATTTGTGGCTGAATTTCTAGTGTAAACTCTAAACTTAGCATTGCTCCGTAGTATTAGAGGAGAAATGGCCAGGATTTGGAATGTAAATTTAAACCTACTCTAATTCTGGTATGGATTTGTTTTCCTCAAATACCAGATTCCTTATCCGCTGGCTAGACAAACCTTATACATCAGGAGAAAGAGATACTCTAGTAAGACAGGCTAAAGAGTTAAAGGAGATGAAAAGATCTTTATACTAGGATCCAGTGTGGTTTGTGTGTCACTAGGTTTATCTAAGATACATTTCTAGCACAGTTCCTTTTATTATTTATATCTCTTCTTTACAGGAGGTAAGAAGAAGAAGAAGAAAAAAAACAAAAACTAGGCAAGATCACTCCATTATACAATTGTGTAGAAGTAGCAGGAGCAATGAGCTATCCTTCCAGCACCCAGCAAAAAAAAACACGCAGTGCTCCTTTTTTAGAGCACGATGTAATCATCTGTGTCAGTGGATTTAGAGGACTTGGAGGAGATCTGTGAAGAGCTTGTTTGCTAGGCAGTGATGTGAAGGTGCTAATGTCCATTCACAGGACAAGCTTTAAATAAATGTACCTTGGTGTAGTGAATTAAAATATGAAACTGGAGGTGGTTTTCTAGGGCTTAATTTTCAAACATTTTTGCATCTTTGAAATCAAATTATATATTTTGTGAGTGATATGTAGGTGTAAGCATGCAGGTGATCTGCACTTGGTCTCTTAAAATTGTTGCTTTTTCAGTCATAAGCTGATAGTTTCATTCAGAAGTTTTTTGGAATTGGTGGGATACTGCTGCTACACAGACAGAGGAGTAACTCTGCATTCCGTAGCAGTTCTAGGAGTAACGATGAGCTTGAACAAAGATTATCATGGCTGCATGTAAAGCATGCTGAGAATCACAGGTGATTTACTCTTAGTGGTATGTTTGGTGTATTTGCAAATCTTGACTACACGGAGTTTTTAAAGGAATGTTTTTAGGCCCTCTACTGATCATTCTGAGAATAGGACAGAGGAAAAGCTACCCTGCAGTGTTAAAATGCTGGCAAAACAGATCTTTTTGGAAAAGAGAAGATAAATGTAAGAAGGGAATAGGACTAAAAACTTTTCTAATTAAACAGGGCCATTCCCTCACATTATTTTTGGAAATACATCAGAAAACAAACAAACAAAACCCAACAAAAATACCAGCTGCAGTACAGATGGGCTCTCCTGTTTTGAGAGGGAGTCAAATAAAATCCGTTAAAAAATCAAGATTGCATGAAGGCTTTATTCCAGTCTCCATTTTTCCCTTACATTTAAAAAAATACATATTTAAAATCTAGTGCATCTTGTATTTTTTTAGTTCTTTATGATTGTTTTATCTTGCAATATTTTTTTTCTGGCAATGTTTGAGAGAAAAGCAACTTTGAGTACTGCTTCAGGTTAGAACCTTAATGCAATTGAACTAAGGGCAAGTTCCAGATAGTAACACCTGCCAAATCTTCTTGGAGGTTTTGAGAGTCAATTGAGAAGGTCTTTTAAGGGTAGGTAATCAGGCAGCTCTGTGTACAAGTATTTAGCTGATACACTCAGTTCAGAGAAGCTGCTTGAAAGTGCCAAGTCTCCGAGCACTGTTTAGCATCTCTACTTTCTCCCCCATTTTTAAGTGTGGCTATGTCAGGGAATGTTTTGTGATGTTTTTCTGTTTGTTTGTAACAGGAGTTGGTGTATCTAGAGCTATTTATGTGGAATTGCTCAGTATCTTGCATGCCGCTGATTTCTGCATATTGACGTTTTAGTTCAGACAGCGTGGTTACCTCATTACAGCTCGCGTGCTTGCAATTATAGCTGAGCCAGTAATTCACGCCAGCTCTTTATTAGTTAATGCGTGTTTACAGGGCTTTGAAAATAGTGTCAGAACTTCCAGAGCTGGGCCAGTACAAGAACATTACAAAACACTGAGATGAGAAATTATATGATAAATACTATGTCAAAGTTAAGCTATGGGAGAATTTTAAGAGGAAAAAAAGGCAGCAGGATGGGCTTTATGTTTTGGACCTCATATGATTACTAATATGTTTCTGAATTTCTATGATTCCTAATACAAGTGTTTTCAAAAGAAAAAGCAGATTTTTTAATTTTTTTTAACAACCACTTTGAAAAATGTGGATCTGCATTAGCACAGCACTGGTATGACATTTATTGTTTTATCAGCTTCCTTCCAGAGCTCTCATCCTCACAGCTGTAGTCAGCAGGAATTGTTGCAGTTTCTCTCTCTAGAACATGCAAGTTTTCTTGTGAAATTCAGCTACTGGTTTTGGTTGAAGCTGCTGATTCCTAAGTTCTGACAGCCTTGCTGTATCCCATGGGCATATACTGCCAGCTACTAAGGGAAGTGCGAACCAGGAATGAGAGAAGATTTCTGCAAAGGTTAAATGGTTCTAGCAGTTGGCAGTTGGGAATTGCAGTGAATGATCTGCACTCTTAATTGGGCAGTGGTTATTAACTGGTACTAAAACCAACTATCATAGTTTTTGCTACAGATCTAAGCTGGTTCTCATACTAGAACAGGGATAAGATGCAAGACAATAAAATTCAATGCCCAGAAAGCTCTTACGAAGCTTCATTACCTTCGAACCAAATAGCAGAGTCCTGCTATGTCTTGATAACCACAGGTAAATGATTGCAGCATGTATGTCAATATAAAAGTGCATGAAAAATAGTGAGGCAGGAAGAGAAGCATGTATGATAATTAAGGTTGCATTACTCAGTGCCTTGGAAGGCTCTTGAGCACTGATACGCTCAGGAGGGTTGGAGAACCTCATTGAAGTTGCCACACGTGATCCCCAGAGTGAAGTGTTGGCCGTTACAGGTGTGATTAGCCATGCTTATTAAATCAGATGGTGCAGTTGACAGATGTAACCAGGATTTATCAGTGTACCGATTTGGAAAATAGCCCAACCTTAGTAAAGAAACCAAGAAAAGTGCATTTAGCAAACTCTATATACAATATTGATGAGTGTATCCATAACAGCAGAAGTTGTCATTTTGAGTCCACTGCTCATTAGCGCTCTTTCTTTTTCACTTCTTCTTCTTTTCTTTTCCTTTCTTTTCCTTTTTTTCCTGTTTTTTTTTTTTTTTTTTTTTTCCTCTTAATTTTCTTTCCTTAGATCTAACTGGCTAAAACCGTGCTGTGGGAGACGAGCAGCTGTGTGGCAGGTATTTTTGCTCAGTGCAAGTCTCAACAGTTTCCTGGTAGCCTGTGTAGTGTTGGTGGTGATTCTTCTGACTCTGGAACTCCTAATAGATATAAAGCTTCTCCAGTGTGAGTAGGAGGATTATTATTATTTTTTTTTTCATTTTAATGAAATAAAGGCTTAACTTGCTGGGAGGTTTTTAAAGGGTGGGGAAGTTGGTGGGGATTTTTTTTTTCCTACCATGTAAATGATTAGTAGGCTAGGAGAGAACTGTGTTTGTGGAACCCTGGTATAGTGAAGTCAGCCCCTCCCCTATTTTGCTGACCAAATTCAGTATAGGACACATTTTCAGAGGATACAAGCAGACTGTACATGCAGATATCTGCACATATGTCATTAGTACGTGAAAAGGTCTGTCCTTCAGGACAGCCACATTCTGTATGCAAAGAAGAAGGTCATCAGTGTATCGTTAATCTCCCTGCTACTTGTCACATGTATGTGGATGGATACGATGAACTTGCTAGGGTACTCAATGCCATCATATTATTAACTTAATATACTAAGGTGGGTAGGAATTGCAATTAGTTTTCTATTTTATGAACAGAAATGATGTAGATTGGCATTCTACTCTGCTAATATACAGTGAGTCAAATAATAGTTTCAATGGAGTTTTGCTATATCTGAATTCTCTGAACTCACTCTACACAGGTTCCACAGTGCTATTTTTCATGCTGTTGTTTTGCTTCCCGATTCATCTTTTTTTTTTCTTTTACTGCTGTTTTCCTCCATTCCTTTCTTTCTTTTTTTTTTTTTTTTTGCTTTTAAAATACAAACCTGATACGAACACAAATACCAGCTACATTTTTCCCACCACTAATTGTTACAGAGCAGCCTGCCCTACAGTCTCAAATATGTCAAATGGTAATTATGGGGTTCAGACAATCCTATAAATGCAAGAATACACAACATGAGAGTCACAGTCTGGTGTCTTATATGGCAACTTTGAACCGAGCAAGTGAATGTTGAAGTCCTTTTATTTTCATGATTTTTGTGTTGATATTAATGAAATTAGATTTCACTGTAAAAATTTAGGTATTACAGTTGTAATAAGATTAGTTTAAGGGATTTTATTGTTACCTGCAAACATTTTTTTATTAGGCCTATAAGATAAATCAGTGATTAAGCTGCCTTTCCACAACATTGTCCAAACTTTTCCCCAGTCCTCTTACAACCCTGTCTGTCCGTACTACACACAGTGTTATTATGAGCATGGCCACTCCACTCCACTTGTTATTTTCTGCAGTCTCTGGCAGCTTACCATTTTACATGAGGAAACCAAAAATTTGGACAAATCTGTAGCTTCTAAAAAAGTCAGGAATGCTAATGATGGGTGTAAGTCCTTAAAAATTGAATGAAGAACTGTATTAAGCCACCACATTTTTCTGTTCATGTATAGAGTTGTCACTTCCTGCAGAGCTGAAGAGTTTAAAAGCTGTTTCTGTTGATTTGTCTTAGACTTTTAACAGAGTTTTGGAGACTTTCCTCTGGAAGCACCTGCTTTCTTAGCCATTTATTTTGCTTTAGAGAAGGCTGTATTTTAAGGGGCCATTTCTCCTCTTTTTACCTGGTGCATGTGATACTCTTAAAAGCATGCCAGCTTATACCTTGTGCTTGGCCTAGAGATGCTTGGAGAAGCCAGGTGAGTTCATTGTGCAGAGGCTGCCCCTGCCCTGTATGGATTTTCTCAGTACCTGAGAGTGTGTAGCTCTGTGCTGCTACTTGGCATTTTAGCTAATACGTAACCCATCATGCTTCTTGCCTTCGCTAAGCTGAACTCTTTCTGTTTTGTTTTAAACCAGATAAGGGTTGTCTAGGTGGGGCTAACAGAAGTATTGCAGTTGTGTCACAAGGAATGTACATCACTCACGTTAAGCTTTTAATAAGCTGTTAGGACGTAATTACATTTTTCAAACATGCTATTCTAGTTTATAACGATTCCTTATTCTATATGAAATTGAGCAGTGCATTAGGATACGTTAGGGCACATCACTGCCAATTTTGTTTGTAGTAACTGCTGTTCCACATTGTAGATGGCAATTAATTACTGTCTCCTCTTTTTTTTTTTTTAATGAGGGATTTTAATGGGTTTTGGGTTGTATGTTTAAAACTATTGCATGAGAAGTCAGGTTTCTTTGACTGTGACATTTTGAGAGCATCATTTTCCTCTCATACTTTTAGTGCAGTCCTTGGTTGCACCATGCACTTCTCTCAAGCAAAATGTGAAATAAAGCACAACTCCTTGGCTTTTAATGACAGCTCGGAGAGGGCTAAAAAAAAAAAAAAAAGGGTACAAGTAAAACAAACATGGAATGCTGTTCCAGATAAAAGTAGCAGCTGCTGACTAGCTTAGGTGTTTTGCCTCGACCTGAATCCCAGTGAGGTATCCAAGCCACCACAGAGCAGGGATGGGCACCTCTTGCAGAAGAGCCTTCTCCCTTTTTGTAGCCTTTCATTACATTCTTGAAGGGCAGTCTTATGGAAGAGGCAAATGTCCAGTCAGTGTGTGGGCTAGTGATTCAACTCTTGAGCAAACCTTCTGGTTTGGGAGACTTTTTCACATTTACTGTTTACTGGCAATTTGATTGCACACTGTCTGGCACTGGGCCCAGCATTCTCCTCCAGTTACTGCAGCATCAGAAACTGATTTTCTTTCAAGAATCGTTGTCTGCTATATCTTTTTCTGTCCACTAAGGGGCAGCTGGAGCCTTATATGTCAATAGACAACTGTTTGAAAAATAGCTTACAGATGGTTTCCATTTCTTGTTCTTTATGCCACCCTATAAAGACAGTGTCATGGGAAAGGTAAATATATTATATTTTTCCCTGTTGTTTCATCTGTAAGTAGTTCCTCTGCAGCAAACCCTCTCACATCAAGCCCCAGAGGAGCCTCAGTTGTGAGAGCTCCAACAGCAGCCCCTAGCAATGTTTTTTTTGTATCCTGATTTCTTCTTCCATTCTTTCCTGCCCTTTCTCATTTTGATGAGTTTTAATTTTAAAACAAGATGCTTGATTTAATGCATGGCATACATGTTCCTTGGGACTTGGTTAATTCTGCTGCAGAGCTGCATCTCTGTGTGCAGAGTCATCAATTGCCTTCAACTTTTCTGATACACCATAGTTCTTTGAAACTGCAGGACCACACATCAGTCTGCTCAAGGGAGGGTAGACTCACAAATACCCTGAAGTAAAGTGAGGTTTTTCTATTCATTGCCTTAATCGAAACTTGATAGTGTGTGATCTCCAGAGTAAGAGTTGCCAGTCGTGCAGATACTGGACCCTTTCTGCTTTTTGCTTTTTGTCATTAATGAATTTCAGTTGAGCTACCTTGAGAAACCTTCCACATTTCAAGACAGGCACTTAATCCCACAAAGACAATCCTTACCATAGAGCTTCTTAGGTAGTCTTACAGCAAACAAGCAAAGTAAGTTGAATGAAATGAAAGCACAATTTAATGCCAGTGAGTGCCCATGCAAGGCTTTGGTACACTCTCAGTTCATGCTTTTAGTGAGTTCAGGCTAGTGTTCCTCCAGTCAGGTCCTGAAAGGACTTTTTTTTCAGTTGTTCCGCTCTGATAGTGAAATAACTACATCATAGTCAGTGTGCATGAGGAACACCTGTATGGAATGTCTGTGCGCAGTATCCAGCGTTCTCTAAGTTTCCCCTTTAGTTTACTCTTTACAGACTTTGTTTCATGGAGGAGTTTGAAATGAATTGAACAGAAGTGATTTTAATATTTCCTATCTTTCTGAAAAAGATTGTGGAAAAGAAGTTGTATTTTTTAACCAGTTATCTTACCTCGAGTTTTATTTCATTTGCTGTAGCTTTCTCAAGTGCTTGTATACCAACCTACTTAAAGACAAAGCTGCCCCTTTGACAGCCACATTTCCTGAAATACACTCTACAAAAGTAATCACATTTTTATGTTGTACAAGTTAGAATCACTGCTATTTCACAAACTCTAAAAATAATACATTGAGATTTGATCTTCATAACAATTAACAATGACATTCATTCTTTCTGTTGCTGAACTTGCTGCCATATCCGGACAGCTGTGTGGAAGTCCACATAGCTTGGTTATTCATTTAGGTGAAAAGGTTTTTAAAGCCCAGTTTGAGCAGTAGTTTTTAATCACTTGTTCCAGACAATTATTGTTCTTCTGAGCTGAATTGTCAAAGACTGCATATAAGGAATGATGTGGGAATAATGGACCATTGCTTCCTTGCAGAATTCTAACTGAATTTTTAGGTACGTGGGATTTAGTCACACATCTCGTAGTAAAGCAGTGTGTGGAGCAAAAGCACGCAGCAGTGACAGATTGTCAAAGGCCTAATGTGTATGTCATTGCTTACTGGTAATCTGATGTGTACAAGATCCAAGGCAATATTGCTGTGGCTGCTGACGTGCTGGCCTGAATTAGGGTGAGCAGCTGATGGGGCTGGAGTTCTGTGTTCCATTACATCCCATTCCCTTTCTGGCACTTCCATTACGAACTTTAAGAAAGAAAGCTTGACCCACATGTAAGTTGTAGCAGTACTAATGATACTAAACATAAGTTGCGTTCTGCTCCTATAATGATGCCTCATTGTACTGTGTTAATTGCAGTTTCAAGTGCTTCACAGTTTGCAGGAGTAATTCACTGGATCAGCCTAGTCATCCTGTCTGTTTTCTTTTCAGAGGTATGTATGATCAAAGACCTTCATGCACAGAACTGCAAAGTATTTTTATGATGTCACTGGAATTAGCAAGCATTTAACATGGTTTAGATTGTGAATAAAGGTAGTGCAGTACACTACAAAAAAAAAAAAAGAATGAAAAACAGAAAGGGAAAAAATGTTGCTGCTGAACTTAGCAAACTAAAAGATCTTGTTTGTAGTAGTGCTGTTTGTCAGTTGCCTAGAATTGGCTAGGGAACATGGAAGATACTGCCTTATAAATTACAATTGATAATCACCTCTGAATCACCACAGACACAGGACAGACCTATTTCAGACATTTCTTCTCACAGAAATCTTATCAGTGTCACTGGGAATAAAGAATTAATTTGGGGTGAAAGATCTGCAGATTTATTTTGCAAAAAGGTCTGTTTTAAGAATGGAATTCTCTCAAGATTTATGGAGCTAGTTTAGATGCTCTAGGTTGCTGCATGTAAACACAGTGAGAGAATGAAACAAATGGTGAATTTCTTTGCAAATATTTCTATGAATGTGCTTTCAGAAATTGGAAAAAGCTGTAGTAGTGACATAATGAGTGACAAAATTGGGATTACCTATTACAGTTTTCAACTTTATTCCAAAAAGAAGTAATTGATACCAAGACATTTAGACTACACCTGAAATATCTCAAAGTATTCATTAAGGTTATTTTTCCAGGTCATATGGTGTTACTTGTCACCAAAAAAAAGAAAAGTTTTTGTTTGTTACATCATACCAACTTGTATGTTGGAAGACAACCTGGACTTACATATTTTAAAATATTTTTTCTAATTCATAGGATAAAATATTGTCGTCCAAAAAGAAGTTAAATTCTTCACTCTGTGAAGACGCATTGACTTCACTCTGTGAAGACACATGTAACGTTCACATTGACGTGAAAGTTACAAAGAAATTCAGACCAACAGGGAGCTGTGATATCTGCAAATTATTTGGTAGTTCATTGTGTTGAATTGATGCTCACCGTATTATATCACTGATTATTTTTGTGGTTCTATTATGCCTTTATTTACATATATCATTTTGTATTTCTACTTTGCATTTCTACTCATGACAGGGGCTTTCTAGCTGGTGTTGCCACTGCCAGTGGGAACTTTCAGAAAGCATTCCTTGATAACAGGCAGGGGTCTCAAGACTGCTTTACATCCTAGTCTCCTGGTGCAGCAGTTATACAAATGGATACAGCTCATTTTTTTTTTCCCTATCCTTTGACAGTGATTGTGGGTTGTAGGATACATGTAAACTGCCTGGAAAAGAATCTCTAAACCATTCAACAGTTCTGCAGAATCTGCTTTGTGTACTGCATATCCTAATACTTGAATGCTTAGGTTTGATAGGTGGAGTCCATTCCCTGTAATGAAATACTTGCCCCTCTCTCTGGGAAGCTTTCTTTTGCTCCAGTGGGGATTAGCACCCTGGACCTGTAGTCCTGAGCTTTCCAATAGGATCAGCCTGTAACTCTGCTGCTGGCAGCATGGCTGCACAAACACGCACCTGATCTTCATCGCTGCCTGGAGCTTGTTTCATAGCAGCTTCTCCTGTGGTCCTCGATTTCCTTCTACTGGGCATAACCTTGAGTTGTGTTTTTTCCCCAAAGCCTGATGCAGCTCCATGTATCCTAGCAGCTCCTTGAAGTGTCTTGTTCCTGTGCCCCTTCCATAGTCTGGTTCACATGCAGGCAGTTTTTGTTAGGTTGCTTGTGGCAGTGCAGATAGGCCAGTTCTCACCTGTCTCAAGGCAGACATCAATAGTTTTGGTTCTACTCAGAGTACCTGCATAAGTGAACAAACTGTTTCAGAAATGCTTTGCAGGAAAACAGTAACAGAAAAGATTAGCACAGCCAAAGCTGATTGCCTGACTCACCATCCTCATTGTGCATTTGTCTTGGATATTTTCCTCCTTTCTACATTAGATATTTCAAATTAATTTTCCTTCTCTGCTTGCAGTCCTAAATTTTTATAAATCTCTTTCTGTCTTTCAAAGTATCTTCTTTGTCTTCCTCCACTTATTTGATTATGGGTTGAATTTCCATCAATGAAAGCCAAGGCTACAAGGCAGCCATGTAATGAGTGCAGAGGAGGTTAGACGTTTGGATAATGGTTCATTAAGTGAATTTTTAGCAGCTCAGAGTCCTAGACCATGTTATAGCAATAGGGGTGGATCTGCAGCATATCTGGATATGCTTCAAAGACCACAGACCTGGAACAGAAGGAAGGTGTACCATTGCTACTGGGATTGCTGGGAATGGTCTTGTGCCAGGGCGGTTTAATGAACAACAGCACAAAAAACAGTGTATAATCTTTTCTCATCCAAATCAAAAATGTTGATTTGTCAAGGGGTTATAAAATACTGTAAAAACTCCATATCACAGAAATGCTTTTTTTTTTTTTTTTTCATTGATCTTTATTTTATTTACTCTTCTGGTGCCTTCAGAGGCTTTCTTGCCCTCTGATTCTCAAAACCATGAGTCAGTTGTCTTTTTGAGTTTTTGAGTTATTTGTTGAGAAAACTGTATGTTACAGTGAGACTTTGCAGTCTGTGACTGTTGATGTCAGAATGAGTTTCCAGATTTGAGCAGGCTTAATTGGTTTGCTTGGATATAACAGGCAACTGCTGAGGATTGATTAGTCTTTCAGCCGGTGCTTTTCTCCCCAAACCAAGGATTGAGAGACGCTAGTGTTCACAAAGGGCTGTTTCCATAGCAAGCACCATGTCCCAGCCTTGGATGTTTATTGGTTTTTCTGTAGTTTGGTTCCCATTAGTAGTAAAGGTGGATACATAATTCTTCAGAGAGGCTTCAGCTCAGATGTGGAGAAGAAATAATAGAAACTTGTAAAAGACTTATTAAAATCCAGAAAACTTCCAGAAGAAAATCTGAATGTTTTAGAAAAATATGACCGATTAAAAGCTGGTGCTGTAAAGACACTGCAAGCACTTTTGGTCCTATCGTGGTGGAGTTAAACAGGCACTGGCTTTCTGCTTGGTTAAAATGAAGGGACAGACATGCCAGCAACTCGCAACTGCCAGCAGGACATCTGCCAACCAAATTAAGTAGCTACACTCCCAGCATTTTCCATCTCTCTCTCTATTTCTGTTATAGCCATAAGCCTTAAAGGAATTTATTACACTCCGTCAATTTTATATTTTCTTTCTGTCACTGTCTGTGACTTTCCAATGTTAAAATAGCCTTATTCAAGTGAATTGCACATCAGCTCTTTTAGCTTTTTTCCAAGTATTTTGAAGAGGATTTACTAGTGGTGATGACTGTATATGTTTGTCTCTTTACATACATCACTACAATTTGTCTGTGCACCAAATGTTACCCAGATGTTAAGACAGAAGAGAAGAAAAAGACACTGGGGGAGAAACCCCAGTACCAACAGCAAAGCAAGGCTGGGGTTACACCCTGTCAAGAGGGCAAATTCAGCCTTGGTTGACTGAGAAAATGATGATGGGGAATGTCACAGTGCTTTGGTAAGTGGCTTGGAGTATGCTTGTATTTTAACAGCCTTATCACATTGCCACAGATATCTGATTCTGTAGCTGTTCAGTTGTGTTTTTCCACTAAGATTGTTGAGACCATTTGCGTGCAAGAATCGAGTTCTTTGATATTCGTTGTTCGTGTTGCCCTGTATGCGCTTCTGTCAGCCAAGCACTCAGGCATTCTGCTAGCTTTCAGCACTCAAATGTTTCCATGGGAGAAACCAAGTCTTCGGGTGTGCTTAAAGTTAGGCAATCACTGAATCACCACTTTTTTCCTGTAGCAGGGTACAAGAAACAAGTTCTGGAATGGAGTAGAGTAAGTCTGGAGTCCTAGTTGATAAAGGATTTGTTTCATTGGCTATGGCTCATGAGTGCATATTAGATTTTGTCAGATAAGCAGAAAGATAATAATCTTCTATTAATTCTGTAATGTTTCCATAAGCTGGAAGAACATTTGTTTCTGAATATTTGCTTTCATTCTGTGTACACAAGTTTTCTCATGGTGCACAAATATGGTGCATTGCTGGCTGTGTAGGTTTTGATTCTTCAGGTGGTTGATGAGGGGGGATCTAGGATGAAAGATACAGATTTTCGATGCTAACATAATTTATAAAGGTAAATTGAAGGTTACTTCTCTGTTAGTGTGTAAAAATTAAATATTTAATATCTTGTGGAATGTATTTTCTAGGCTCTTACTTTTCTTGCTTTATAAATGAGTAGTTACCAGGTTTCGTAGAGGTCTAGTGACCTTGCTTGACACCTTCTCTTGACACCAAGAATATATCACACACACACGCATACATATATACAGGGTGTGCTCTATCAGCACTTCATCTGGGCTTTCATCTCCTGATAGCCACAGGCCAGCACCTTCTGCACTGCCCTACAGAGATAAGAACTAACACGAGCGTACTCATGCCTAGAGGGAACCTCTGGTTGCTTAAGACAATTTTCTGTCCAATCTGTACTTACCTTCTGGTGGCATACTGTGGCTCTAGTAAGCCATTTCCATTCCTGTAAAGCTCTTTCAAATCACTCCAGAGCTTTCAGTTTAAAATTCGTTCTTTTTCTCCTTATTCTAAGAGCAGGACTACAGTTAACTTCAGTGTTTGTGCAAAGGTGCATTTTGAGAGTATGTGATACCACAGGAGAGAATTAGTGGTAGACGATGACAAAGATGTACTACGTTCGTGGTTGTTCGTGTCACCAGGCTTTTGCCATTAATTATTCCTAAGTGACCACGTGTGCTGATAGAGCCACAGCAGTGACAGAGAACAGTAAGTGGGGAGTGTTTTGTGCTGTGCGATACATGAAGGGAGGGCAGTAGTTATCCTTTTCATTTTGGAGCCTTGCTTTGAAGAGAATCCATGTGAGGAGGATGCCCGTGCACTGGAAGCAGAAGGATGTGTCATTTAAAGGTGCTAACGTGTTCCGCCATGCTCTGCGGGCAGGGGAGTAGCACACCCTAGAACAACTAATGCAGTGCCTCAGGTCAGGCACACCAGGAAGTGACAAAAGATTGTTTTGTCTATGAGCTAAGGCCTCTGTGGAGAGATCTGAGCCAGAGAGATTATAAATCACAGGCTGGGTACAAGGTGTACTTCCTGAGAAAGATTTCAATAAACATTTGGACTTATGAGGTATATCCTAAAGACAGATGCTTAATCTTACAGTTTCTGCATAAGGCAGAAGTAAACACCCTCTGTAATACATAGAGAGTTTTGCGGCAGTGGAAGGAGGGAAGCACTCGACTGAAGACCCTTTCTGCTCCACTCCATCTCTTGTGCAATCCTCCTGTGCAATAATTAATCCTCATCTAGGAATGCAGAGCTGTGAAGGAAATCTGGTGGGCCAGCCTCGCCTGCTGCGCTGCCTCCTTTTTGATTTCTTTACACCATGGATGAATTTAGCACAGCAAGTCACTCAGTGGTAAATAGTATATTAATGGTGCAAGCAATGACGTATTTAAAATTACCAAATGTACAGTGCAGTCAGCTGACAAATGTGGCTAACTCACGCAGGGTGTGGGGATTCACACAGCTGGCTCAGCAGAGGACTTGGCCAAGCTTCCCTAGAAAATTGGACAGCAAACCTGCAGCATCACACAGTTCTGCACAACCTGCGTTGCAGGCAGGCCGTGTTGTGCAAGCAGCTGTGCATAACCAAGGGATAAAGTCAACTTGGAAATTACGTTTCTTTCTAAAGAATGGTTTAAGGTTTTATTTTTATCTGGCTTTACTCTGACTAAAACAAGTTAACAGAAATGTTCAGTCCCTTACTTTTATTAGTACACTGGGCAGACTTCTATGTAATAATTTAGCTTTCCTCAGAAAGCAAAAATGTATTTCTGATACAACTGAAATACATACACACAAACACACACACATATATATGGACAGATGGATGGAAGTTAAGTACTTTCTAATTGAAAGTTCTTAGGTCAAGAAATGTTAAAACATTTTTTTTTCTTTTTTAACTGTTTAAAGGCAGTGGCCTTTAGCAGAAATATATTCCCACTGATATCTAATGTTTGCATTCAAACCTCTGTGACCAAAAAGCAGAATGCCTGTAGTGTACTGCAAAACTGTGTGTGTGCATCTGCTCCAGTGCTGAAAAATACCCCCACACCAGGGAAAACAGCAGCTCTTCTCCATTTCTCCTGATTTCTTGTAGATTTTTATGTCAGTTCTGCAAATGGTAAGAGTCACATCTAACATGTCTGTTTCATCTGTGATGAATGCTCAAGTTGGAATTCCTTTTCAATTCATTTGTGCTTTTCAGTTTGGTCCATATACAGTGCCTAGGAAGTTTGTTGGAGTATTTATTTCTGTCTGTTTTTTTTCAGATTCTGCTAGGTTCTGTACAGAGAAACCACACAGACAAATGCAATGGGTGTTTGTCTGAAAGCTGTTTCTGACAGTTTAGGAAAAATACTAAAGTGCTGTTTATAAGTAACACTGGTGCTCTCATTTCAGTCGAAGTATTTATTGTTTTGAACACTCAGGGAGATTTGCCTTGAGAAGCCCAAATGTGTTTGGTTCAGACTCTGCTGGGTAAGAGCAATGACAGCTGAGGTGGGTGTGATCCCATACTTTGTGCCCACACAGGGAGGGCAGAGCAAGCTAAGCCTGCTTTGGTGGTGCCAGTAAGTGCCAGTAGTAAGGACTGGCAAGGGGCCCATGAGCATACCGCGGCTGTATCTCAGGCTGCACTGTATGTGTGAGATGCACTCGCCCACGGCATTTTCCTGGGACTCCAGCTCCCTGAGGGCACCAAGGCAAAGCTGTCTTATGTGGTTTTTTTTTGCAGCAGTTGTGAGGTGCTGTGTTTGGTTATGAGCGAGCGACAAGCTGATGGATAATGCCAGCGTGTGGCTTTAAGGCCTTCCATATAGAAGAAATGCTTATACAGCTTAGCCCTCAGTTGTGCCTGGAGTTTGCCCTGAGGTTAGTGGCTTTCTGAGAGGGAGCTGGGTTCATCCTGCCTTTGTGCTCTCCCCTCCTACAGCTCGCTTGTTCTGTGTGTGAGCAGAGATGGTGATCATCAAGGCGTTTCTTGTGAGGGGGGTGCCTGTCACCTAGAGGTAGCACCCAGAAGCATTACTGCAATAAATGTCTGCCAGAAAGACTTCCCGACAGTGCTGACTTGTGCTGATTCACACAAGCAGCCTGAAAATGAAAATGTTTGTGCTAGCTTCCAGCCCTTGGAATGGCTCAGGCCCACGAATCTGACAGTAGTGCAGTCTTACTTAAACACTGCAGTGAGAATTAAAAAGGCAGAAGTGACTTTTTTTTAATGTTCTCTCAACAGTTCAGTGTTAAATTATCTTTGGGGGTGTGAGGCAGTATATGTGTTTTCTTTGTGCAGGTATGCCCTGTCATTGCAACAAAAAGATCGCTGGACAGCTGCACACCTATCCAGAGGAAGGTTTTCACCATCAGCTACTGTAAAGATGTGAAGCGTGTAGCCATCCTGTAGTTGTTCACTGATATAGCACTTCATAAGCCTGCCTAGGCATAGAAGAAAATGACCTGGATTCTTCCCTGCTGTCAACAGGGTTGCTGAAAAGGTAGCACCCCGTACTGTAAGGAAGGCACTGCTTTTCCTCATGCATTGCCTGCCAGCTGTGGACACAGGTTAACTGACACAACTGGATGTGTGTGCTCACGGGTGCCTTGTACTTAGTGTTTTGTACAGCTTCTCCCTGGGGACTGGGGGAGCTGCTTACAGGGGAGCTGGGGTGCTTCTGTCTGAAAGGGCCTGAGCTGAGACTGCAGAAGTGCTGCAGTCGTACAGCAGTGTGTGCACTTACACCTTGTGCTTGCATCACGTCTCATCATGCCAGCAAAACGAGATTTGAGGGGCTGCTGCTGCTGGGCATCTCTTCTTTGCCATCTAAACCACTGTGCATACAAGTTCCTGAGGAGATTGCTGCAAGTAACCTTATTCCTGCATTGCGTTTGTGAAGGGCTTTGGAAGTAAAATGTTCTTTTAGGAACAGAGACCAGCAGCATTAGCAGTTCTTGGTGTCTACATAAAGTCTTACCATTTTTTGTAGAGGGAAGAGAGCACTGCATTTGCTCTTCTGACTAGTGACTCCCTTTCTCAGCCGGACTTGGCCAGTGCTTCACGTGTACCATTCCTGAGCGAGCACTGGCCAGTTCACTTTCCTGCTCACTTAGGAGTGTTTATATGAGACTGGATTGGGGGCAACAGATCTCCCGTAGCAATGTCTCCCTCTGCAAAACACGTTAAGGTTTGGAGTGCCAAGACAGAGCTCTGCACAGTCATCCTGGGCCCAATGAGGCAGTTGGACTCCTGGGGTTTGACAGAAGCATGCACAGGAGCAGTACCCTCCTGAAAAACCCAGGGCTGTTCTGCAGATTGGTAGTGCTGCTATGTTTGGCACAAATTCCGAGCTGGTTGGGATTTAATATGGCTGTATTTTTAATGAAGAGGAGTTATGGATATTCATCGCATAGGCACTTAGTTTCTTTGGCACAGTTCTTGGCATGGTGACCCCTCACACAGCGGCCTGCCGCGTTCCCTGTCGGTTGTGCTGTGCTTTAACGCAGAAGGGATTTCGTCTTCTCTGTGAGTTGTGGAGCTCCAGTTGTGTCTGTCAAAATCTGAGCTGATGTTGTAGTGGGCAGAAAACATCCCTACCAGTTTTGCTTTTATGTGAATTCAATCGCAATCATCAGATTGTTGTTTTTTTTTTTTTTATTTAATGGTGTATCCTAAAAGCCGGATTTTAAAAGAAGGGGAACAATGCCATTGGATTGTTAATAGGAATTCACCATTGGTTCATTCTCTTTTCCATCTGTATTGTTCTTTTCTAGTTACTGATGCATCTTACAGCTCTTTTGCTTAAAGAGGAGTATCATAGAAATATTTTTCTCCCTTATCCTATGACTTTCTGGAACTTCATAATAAGGCAACAGCTCTGAACTCCCGAATAGTACAGAGAGGTTCAAATGTTCACATCCAGAAGAGTACAGAGAGGGGACCCAAGTGTGAATCTTTTAAAGGCTTCTTTTTTTCTTTTTCTTTTCTTTTTTTTTCTTTCTTTTTTTTTTTTTTTGGTAGTAATCTGAATCTCATAACTAAAAAACTCTAAAATGGAAATTTTTGGAGGATGGAAGGACTGATGAACATTTGAACTTGGAACTTACTGACTCAGTGAAACATCATAAAATGTGGTTAGAAAACAGTACCTCCTTTTATAATATACAGACCTAGCTATTTCTGGATCCTCATTATTATTTAGAAGAAATACATAATGCATAGATAAGACAAAAATGTACCCCTAAATAGATAAAGGACTAAGTGTTTATCTACAATTGCAATGACATTCATCATTTTTTCCCCTAATCTATTTTACTAGACTATTTTGAGGATTGTGGTCCTTGGCATATGGGATTACATTGAAAACAAAATAGAGGTGAGTAGTCTTACTCTTTGTACTGTTTTCCAGGCACGCACAGTAAAAATATTAAGAACTGCTCTGGGTGTCTTCGTTACAGATCCGGTGCAATACAGATATCTCTTAAATCAGATAAGTATGCACATACCTCTTGGTGTATGCTTGGATACATAGCAGTATGATTCAGTCCCTTGTTCTGTAAGACTCTCAGAAGAGCATTGTGTTTGGAAATATTTTATTACAGGGGGAGGAAGGGGCTGTAGGTTTTTTGCTCCATGTGTCTATGATTTTTATTGTTAGAGCTGTGCTTGTCTGACAGTTGGTACCGCTACCCTGAGATAATGAACAATATGAGTAAAAAGTGGCATGTGACTTGTGTAGCCATGTTCTCATGATCAAGTTGAAAGTAGAACAGATTGAAAAATAGTGTGTAGTTTTCTGATAGACAATACAATTTTGGAAAAAAAAAAAAAAAAAGTATTTTTGAAATGATTTTTTTAGTTAAATCTGACTTTTGATAAACACTGTCATTTATACCTCAAATTAAAGATGAGGTAGAATGTGCATAATGTTCCAGAGACAGAAAAGGAAATGCATATGTTAAAAGTAACACATAATCCCAATCTGAGCAACAATCTGGGGAGTGGGAAAATGAAAAACTCTTTCTTGATACTGTCTGGTGTTCACTGTCCATCAAATAGGAGCAGTTAGAAGTGTTTATTTTCAATACACTGGATTGTAATGCACAGTTCTGACTTGTAGTGGTTACAAAATTTATGTCCTGTCTCCGTATGAAAACCATTAACCAATGGTCTTTGGCAGCTGGGAAGCATCCCAGCAGGAACGAGGACACGGTACTCTGTTCTACCCTGCTAGGCAAGTGTAGCACATGCACAACTCTATTGCCAGTTCGCTGTGAGATGTGTTTACTCTCACAGTTGCTTTTTCTGATCTAATCCACAATGCAACCAACATCATACAAATCATTCTGAATAGTCCCTGTTGCCAAAAGCCTTGAAACCCTTGCTGCCCAGTAGCAGTGAGAGCAAAGTCTTTCTGTCTTGCCATAGAGCCCACACATGCTGTGTATTCAGGATGTGGCCATGAGCCATTAAGTCACTTTGCTCCATCTTTTTCTACTTGTCTTCTTGATCTTTTCATTTAGACAGTAAAGTCTGTAAGCAGGGAATGTATCTTTTTTGGGGGATGGCATCATCCCAAGTAATGGGTAATAAATACCAGTGATAATAAAACTCTTCAGCAGCACTATCATTTAGTCTATCACTTCTACATGGAGATTTTGGCCAGGTGGTCCAAATACCTTTCTTCCTGCCCTCCCATCACAGTTTATTTCTCCTCACCTCATAAACTGTGGGTGAAGCACTGAAGAATTCTATTGCACTGCCTCAAAAGGACGCAGCCTTTGTGGGACTTGGCCACCTCTCGTATCCCTTTCACATACATACCATAATTGCATTTCTTTCTGGGGAAGTGGGAGTCCTTCATGACCTCAGGCAGAAATGGCAGGGCTTGTGATCTTTAGAAAGAGTTTGAAAAAACTCATTTCTCTCTAGGTGTTTGATGGTGCTGTCATAATCTTGTCCTTGGCACCAATGGTGGCCTCGACAGTGGCTAATGGCCCCAACAGCCCATGGGATGCTATCAGCCTTATTATCACATTACGAATATGGAGAGTGAAGAGGATCATTGATGGTGAGTGGTGATTCAATTGGTGACTCCAAGAATTACCTGACAGGCTGGGAAAAAAGTGGTTTTTAAAGTTTGGAAAGAATGCTTACCTTCTCCTTCCTCTTACAATTTAAAATGCTTGCCTTCTCCTTCCTCTTACAATTTACCCTGGCTGCACGTACAGACTGGGTGATGAGACGCTGGAGAGCAGCCTAGAAGAGAGGGATCTGGGGGTCGTGGTAGACAGCAAGTTGAATATGAGCCAGCAGTGTGCCCTGGCAGCCAGGAGGGCCAACCGTGTCCTGGGGTGCATCAAGCACGGCATCGCTAGTAGGTTGAGGGAGGTGATTGTCCCGCTCTACTCTGCACTGGTGCGACCTCACCTCGAGTACTGTGTGCAGTTCTGGGCACCACAGTATAAAAAGGACATGAAACTGTTGGAGAGTGTCCAGAGGAGGGCTACGAAGATGGTGAAAGGCCTGGAGGGGAAGACGTACGAGGAACGGCTGAGGGCACTGGGCCTGTTCAGCCTGGAGAAGAGGAGGCTGAGGGGAGACCTCATCACAGTCTACAACTTCCTCGTAAGGGGGTGTCGAGAGGCAGGAGACCTTTTCTCCATTAACACCAGCGACAGGACCCGCGGGAACGGGGTTAAGCTGAGGCAGGGGAAATTTAGGCTTGACATCAGGAGGGGGTTCTTCACAGAGAGAGTGGTTGCACACTGGAACAGGCTCCCCAGGGAAGTGGTCACTGCACCAAGCCTGTCTGAATTTAAGAAGAGATTGGACTGTGCGCTTAGTCACATGGTCTGAACTTTTGGGTAGACCTGTGCGGTGTCAAGAGTTGGACTTGATGATCCTTAAGGGTCCCTTCCAACTCAGGATATTCTATGATTCTATGAAAAGCACTGAAGAGGAGAGAGTTATGACTCCCATGGAGGACAGTAAGTCTCAAGTTTGTGGTTGTTTTTTCCTGTTCCCTTTGAGCCTTTAAAACTGATTGTTTTGTATTTTGTAAGGCCTCTTCAAATCCCCTATCTGGTCAGGAGCATTTTCTTACCATGGTGGTTCCATGCTGAAGGTGCTCTCTGCAGCGCCAGTGTACAGCACAGTTGTCACTAAGCATGAGTCGTGTGTTTTGCATAGACCTCTGTGGGGAAGCACCAGGAGAGAGAAGTCCTCGGGAAGTCAGGATTGCAGAGCAGCAGCAGTGGCTGTGCCTGGAAGGAAGGACTTAAGTGTAGGCTACTTTATGCGAAGTGGTTTCAGGCATTTCAGGTGACAGTGATAAGAGGTGGGAAAGGAATAAATGAAGGATCACTTTGGTCCTGCGTGAAAGATCAGTCAAGCTGTTATTTTTGATTCAGATACCCGAACTATATTGAGAGTTGAGGAAAGGTCATAGCACCATGAGTGAAGTGTCCAAGGCAAGCTCAGGATCTTTTGTAACTTCATAAAACATCAAGAATTGCAATAAATGTTGAACAGCTTTGCTCATCAGTCTGAGTTTGCCTTGATTGTGAGAAAAGCAACATTTCTAAACACATTTGGAAGGCCTATTGAAAACTGGGCTGTAACTTAAAAAACAATAGAAGTTGTTTCCTTTTTGTTTTTTAAAGTCTCCTTCTTAGTCTACTATTTCCATCAGGGACTTACTTCCTACCACCAGGTAGGAATTAAATGCTTAGGGCTCTGGAATTGTTCTTCTCCCAAGGGAATGATGCTGTTCAGGTTTAGAGGGGATGGGAGCAACTCCAAGCAGAAAAATTTGCTACCCAGCAATTCAAAAAAACTGTGGTAAGCACTGGGAAAGATCAGCATTAGTGCCAAAGCTAGGAAGAGCAAGCAGGATGCATTTCAGCTCAGCCATACAATTGGAATTCTGACCAAACAAGAGCTAGGCCCTGCTTATGACTTGTATTTCAGGTGTTAGAAATCCTTACCCAGAAGAAATACTCGAGTTCTCTCACTGTGGTTGAAAAGGTTGAAATTCTTTAGTCTGTAAAGGGTTTTCCTCTGATTTAATAAATAAATAAATAAATAAATTACAGCTGGGTTAACTTTAAGTACTTATTTATGTTTTCCAGCCTATGTCCTTCCAGTGAAAGTGGAGATGGAGATGATGATTCAGCAATATGAGAAGGCAAAGGTTATTCAAGATGAACAGCTGGAAAGACTAACCCAGATCTGCCAAGAACAAGGGGTAAAGTTCAGTTATGTTTTTATTTGCGTAGAGCTTGTTATGGCAAATCAAACAGTTTATGTACCTTGCCACAGGCTAAGGTTTGAGGAATATTGCTGAGATTTCTGTTGCAAGGTGACAGATTTCATGTCGTTAAAGAAATATTAGCTGCAGCCAGGATATTGTCAGCACGGTATTTGTCAAACAGCAGTTGTCTCCCTCTGCTGCTGTGCATGTGTTTTTTAAGGTGAGGAGAACAGTTGTGAGGAATAGAAAAGGAATGCTTCCAGAATTTAATTTATTGATAGAGTGCAGTTAGACATAATATTCAGAGCATGCAAAATTCATGCAAAAAGATTGCAGCAATATTAAAGCAATATTCCTAGGCAAATGTATGCATGTGCAGGAAAGCTAGTGAATCTCCGTGCTTTGAATGCAGGAGGCAGCTTCCCAGTAGGTCAGTCGGAGGCTCACTTGGCAGACTTCTGTTGCATCAGAAGCTTCTAGTTTCTGGAAGAAAGTCAAGATTTTAGATTCTTCCCAGCCCACCCCAAATGTTTAGTGATTCGGTCTTTGAGATAAGGGAGGTGAAAATAAAAATATCTCAGACAAATATGTTTGAGAAAAGTGTAAAACCATCACTTGGGGAAGAAGCCAGGAGTTCTGAATTACACTTAATCTCATGTAAATGAGTCCCTGAGTAAGCTGCTTTAAAGTAGAAACCAGCCATATAAGTTAAGACTCAGGCTAAGCGGGGCATTCAGGTCACCACCAACCCACAAAGGACTGATCCCCCAAGTAACTTATTTCAATTGCAGAGTTAACTGTGAGGTGTCCAAGTAAGGGCTGGAGTTTTCTAGCATCAGCTCCCACTCCCCACCTGTGACAGGTGCTTTTCACATACAAAATGAGGGTTAAGTCTGAGTGGATCAATCAGTCAAAAAGCTGAAGGGCCTGAGTAGACTGGAAGGGAGGCAACTCATCCCAGAACAGGCCAGCTGTCCAACGGGAGTGTAATCTGAGTAGGGATTTAGGTGCCCATCTCTTACCTAGGAACCTAAAACCTGACAGCAGTCCTCTTCGTGACAACTTTGTGCAATGATATTAATATATCCCTGCTTCTGCACTGGTCATGAAATGAACAGGAAACGGTACATACCCAGTTTTACAGAGAAGAGCTTATCCTTTGACCAAACGTGCTAGACAAATCAACGATTTCCTGAGTCCCCCTACAGTATTTTGTCTGTCAGACCATGCTATTAGGTTAAAGTTCTTGACAGACATAAATATGAAAGCATTCATTTTTAGGAGATGTATTATGCAGCTAGATAATATTCTCAATAGTTAAACAATGTCTGTAGTCTGAGTGAAATGGGCTCATTATCCCAAGTGGGGTTCAGGAGTAGCTTTTGCCACCTTGCATTCTGATCCCCGTTCTCTTTATCTGCATGCCTAGCTTGCCAAATATCTAACCATGGTAGCCCTCATCTGAGCTCTGATGGTTACAGCATAGCTGTACATCAAGCACAAAGAAATACTGCTTTGCTAGATGAGTAAATCTGTGAAAACAGAGCAGGTTCTCTCCTAGCTTTCAAGTGTCATCAGCTATAGAAAAATATGGACTATAGAAAAGTGACAGCATACTAATATCTCATGTTTTACTGTCCTGAGTTCCTGCCAAACAAATGTCTGAGCTGTTTAATATGAGGTAAATGTACTAATTTGCTGCCGTTAGCAACAGAAGACATTGACACAAGTCCTGCATCCTTTCTTCGTAAATTAATAGATTCATAATTCAGTCAAGAACAAGTTGTCAGCATTATAATATTCACATTAACATTGTGTACAGTATCTGGTGGGAAAGATATCTCCTAATGGTATTTAATGTCTAAAATTCTGCCAGGTTTTTGCTTTTTCATTTCATCAGCTTTCCTGACCTTTTAAAGGATTGCTCATTCTTGGAGTTTGAGTGTGCATGTCTGTGTGTTTTCAGGCGGGGTTCCCTACAGCAGTTCGGCTGTTCTTGAGTCTGGAGCCCTGGCAGGGAGGATCCCAGAGTGCCTTGCCTGTGTAGGGCCACATCTGGCACAGGCAGCCGAGGTAGCAGGGAGCTAGCTGCCCAGGGCCACCTCTGCACACGGGCTGACCTGTTGCCTCCACTGCATGCAAAGTATTTCCCCTCTGGGTACACAGCTGGACACACCAATGCCAGCCCCAGGCTACCTACCTAAATAGGAAGAAGAGGCAAGCCACTGTGGTTGTCTGCATCCCAGCAGTGGATGTAGATACTGCTTCATCCCAAGGCTGTGTCGTCGTGACCACACCAATGAACTACGTTTGTTTAGTAATTATAGACAGGGCTGAAAACGTTCCCGTTAGAAAGGTTTCTCAGCACTTTCTTTTCTGAGATCTTGTTTGCTCTGTCAGGGAATAGGGATTGAAATTCTGAAGGTGTAACATCTTCTGCAAATGAAATTATTTTGAGTGCTTTAGATAAATATGCAGTATTTCTGGTTTGTTCAGGATTAAAAAAAATAAATGGTGGCCAGTTCTCTGAGAAGTCCCATGCCCTCCTGTTTTGAAGCTGATACTTAAGACTTGGCAGGCTAATAGCCTTCTTGTCATAGATGAATTTTAACCTGTATTTGTGAGCAGTTATTTCCTCCATGCTAAACCGTGTGATTTGAGTCCTTGTTGTGCATCTACACAAAGGGGAGGAATCAAAGTCACAACAACAGCATTTGTCTGGCATTTCTTTCCATGTAGGTTTGTTGAGTGGAGTTGCCTTGTTTGTAATTAATGTAAACATAGCCAAATGCATGTCATGACTGCATGCTCAATTTAAGTTGGCCTATGTTAGTACTGCTAACTGTGCTAGGCGCATTATCCTCCTTCCCCTTCTGCCCAACTGCCTTCTGCTGTTTATTTGCACAAATGCTTTTAATGAAACAGATCTGGAAAGTAATCAAATTAAGCTTAGTGTAACCAAACAAAGTATCAGTTTTTATGGGAATAATTTCTAGAGCCTGGCTCACTGCACAGTTGCAGAATTGCTTCTTTTGGCCCGAGGCAGGAAATGAGGTAGCAGGAATGAAAGATGAGTGCACAGGCGTACAAGGAAAGCAATATCACCTGTTTGCCAACTTGTACCAGTGTAAGGGTGTTGGTTTTTTTTTGTGTGTGTGGCTGCGTTGTTTTTTGTTTGCTTATTTTTTTAATCTGTTTGGTTATGCATGTGAATAATTTATCTTTTCCTTTTGCTTAAAGTGTAGCTTCCTGGAGAGCCAAATTTGTCAGCACTAAGGTTCCCTAAGCATCGCTAAGTAAAACGTGCACAAGTCTTGCAAATCCTTCAAATCTTCCTGTGCTCTTCCCAGTGTCCCCAGCTTGACCTGGCTTCCAATGCCCCTGCCCATTTTCCCTGCGAGGACAGCCTAGGAGAAGGTTGGGGTTGGCTGTGGCCGTGATCACGCGTCCTCCACATGCAGGTGCTTTTGAGCCTGGCCAGTGTCTGTGTGTCCCCCTCAAGCTGTGCTCCTTGTATGAGTTACCCTACCTTGACAGAAATTCTTGTTGCTCTCATTGCTCCATCTTTTCAACTTCTCCCCTCACCTCTATTTTACTCTTTGGTGACCAAACATCTATGGCATAGCCTGTTCTAATGAGAAGAAGATGGACAGGTCAGATCAGACCAAGCAGCAGTCTGCATGGGGGTCTTTGCCTGTAATTCAGCAAATGGTGCTGCATATAGAGTGTGAAAAATGGAGTTCACATTTAAAAAAAAAAAAAAAAAAAAGGCAAGAAAGATGCAACCCCATTGTCTTGCTTTTTGAATTATGCTTCATTTGTCAGTTGTATATGCTTTTGCCAGTGATAGGATATCACAGCTATAAAGCTATGTTTCCATTCCTGAGCAACATTGGATGTTCCTGAGGATATACTTGTACAAACATGAAAACTCTTTCCAGATGTTGTTTTTTTGGCCAGCTATACATCCGAAAGCCAGGATATATTTTATAAATTATGGGTGCCTGGACTACCACTTTGGTCTCTGTAGTACCCTGCTGAAACTGTTTGAATAGTTTGCTGTTTTATTTATTCTCTGTTGGACAAGAAAGATGTCATTAAAAGGGAGTGGAGCAGGAGGGTGGTCAAGGCAGAAAATGCCGAAGGACTGAGATGGTTAAACAGAACTTCACAAAACCTCAGAAACATTAGGAATCACAGTAATGGGGATTTCTAAAAATGTGTAACAGTAAAAGCTAAAGAAGTCTCACTGTAATTACTATAAAATTATAGAAAGAGTATATTGCTGATGGTATTGCTCTATCAGTTTAATAACTTAATTAAATCCTAACACAAAGAAAATCCTGAAGTTTCACTAGAAATGAAAATTCCATTGAAGGAAGATTGTCTTGGTTTTTTTCCCCTCTGGAATCACCTGTAAAGGAATTTCCATTTCTGATAATACATCTAGTTATATGATCTTTTCTATTTAACATTCAAAAGAGTCATTTGGCTAAGTACTGTGCAGCCCAGTCTATGTATTCAGCCTTATCACAACAGCTCCTTTTCTGTCAGCTCCTATAGAATAGGGTTTTTCATCATTCTCAAAACTGTAACAAGTATGGAAGCTATAATTTCTTTTTTATCTTGGAATATAATTTGTACAACAGCTGCTAGCTTAATGACAGGGCTATTTAGCTGGTAAAATTACCTATCGGAGAAATAACTTATGTTATCCTTTTGCAATAATTTTAATTCATTTCTAACTAACAGTCATTTTCTTGGTGAATGGAAGGCAGCCAAGGTCATCCCATGTTTCGTTCTGCCCATAAATCATTAGTTTGCAACTGTCTCCTGATTTTTATTGTTACCAACAATGACTAAACTAATGGAAATAAACATTGGATTGTATCCCAGTGGCAGATGAGTTTTAGGGCAGGGCGTTCTGTACAGACAGCACTAATAGAGTGGAGCAAAGTTATTACTCCTGCATTAGACACAAGTAAGCTTCTGGC